TTTTTAAAGTGTTGAAGAGCAAAGATGTCAGCTTAAAGACTAAGGTGCGCCTGACCCAAGCCATGGTATTTTCAATAACCTCATATGCATGTGAAAGCTGGACAGTGAATTAGGAAGACCATAGAAGATTTGATGTACTTGAGTTATGGTGTTGAAGGAGAATCTTGAAAATGCCATGAACTGCCAAAAGAACCAATAGATCCGTTTTGGAAGAAGTGCAGCCAGAGTGCTCCTTGGAGGCCAAGATGGCCAAATTTCATCTCTCATACTTCAGACATATTGTCAGGAGGGACCATTCGCTGGAGAAGGATATCATGTTGGGTAAGGTGGAGGGTCAGAGAAAATGAGGAAGACCCCCAATGAGATGAATTGGCCAAGAGGTAGCATCGATGGATTCAAGCATGGTAACGATAGTGAGGTTGGCCCAGAATCGGGCAGTGTTTCGTTCTGCTGTGCATAAGGTCGCTATGAGTCGTGCCGACTTGATGGCACCTAACAACAAGAAGTGATTACTGATACCATTTCTCTTGGGTAATGGTGACTGATTATAATGGGGTTGGTGATGAGAATTGGATGCCTGTGGTAATAGCACATTTTGTTGTTGTCAATTGCTGTTGAGTCAATTCCAAGGGCTAAGTTCTAGTTCTTACTCAGGAAGGCCGTCTCCTCTATGCTGTGGCCTGACTCACATGGAGTTAGGAATAAAGAGACAGAAAAATGCTGAAAATCATCTCCTTTAGTCCGAGTATAGGCCTGCACACATTCAGTCTGGGCCACTAGACGGGCTCTACAACAAGACTCCCAGCACACAGTAAGTGGCTGGGTATTGGCCATCTTGTGTACTGACAGGTGCCCTGAATTAGTGTCAAACCAGAGTGTTAGGTTCCATGTGAAGCTGTGTTCTCCAAGCATCTCTGAAGAACTAGTTTCTTCCTGTACCTTCTCAGTCTCTTCCTCACTCCACTCTATATTCCTTTGACACCACCCCCGTCCTTCCCAAGTCTACACCATCCTTATTTATGTATTCTTCTGCTTTTCTTAGAAGACTAAGTCTTGCCTTTTCTTTTCTCCCCAACTCAGCCTCACTATGCCTTTTATTTTCTCTTTTCTCCCCTGGCCAATATCAATTCCTCCCCTCACTCCAGAGAAACTCAGGTTCCCTCTTCTCTTCCCTCCCCCAGCATATATATTCACGTCCCTACTTGTCCTCTCAACTTTGCTTCCCTTTACCAAAATTCTGTCTCCTATAGCTTTTAACCTACTTTGCCTTTTCCAGATAAATTCTCGTTCCTCCTCACCTTGGGTGGTCTACCTCCCAGAATCCTCTCCAAAATTGTGTCTCCCTGCACTGTGACTGTATTTTTGGATATTTTCTCCCTGACCTCACAGTGTGTCATCTCCATGTTCCAGGTTGCAAGAACAGTTTGGGTAGCAGTGACTTTGATGAGTGTGTGGATAACCTTCTGGATAGCATCCCAGTCTGTGATACTGATCCCTGTTGAACAAATCTTATCTCTTTGCTCCTGCAGCTGGCCACAAAAGGGCTGACCAGATCCGCCTCCTCAAGCTCAGACTCTACTGAGCAAGATCTCTGTCAGACCCCCACAACAGCTTTCCAGTGAAGAGAGTGGGGTAGGGAGGGTGTGCTGGAATTGGAATGTAAGGGGTGGCTTCCAGAAGATACACAGACAAGATAGATGCAAGAAAAGCCAATCAGTACTCCAACCTACTGTGTTTTTAGGATCCTCAACAGCCTTGTTGTATTTCAGGTTCTCGAAGCCAGCACCCATGTTCCTGGATGATTCCTTCCGCAAGTGGGCTAGGATCCGGGAGTTTGTGCCACCTTTTGGAATCAAAGGTCAAGGTATGTTGGGGATCTTGGCCCACCCTGTATTAGCATCTCAATTCCAAAATTGCCTCTCTATACTTTAAGGCAGGGCTGTACCAACCCTCCCCACTCTCAACGTTGCCTTTACTTTCTCACTGTCTTTTACCTTTGCATGTCTGCCTGCTCTTCTGCCTCCCAGTTCCTTTCTCAGAAGAAAGGGCAGTGGCCCCGACCAGCCTCGTGTCCAGAGCTCCTCCTCCCCTCTGCCACCTCCTTCATACTAGCCTCAGGAACTGGTGCTGAGACTGGGTTTGCCCAAGAATTGGACTATCAACAAACATATGGAATTCAAGTAACTCGTAACAGTAACATTCCTCTTCTGTCCACAGACAATCTGATCAAAGCCATCTTGTCAGTCACCAAAGAGTACCGCCTGACCCCTGCCTTGGACAGGTGAGCCACTTACTTCACAACCTCTGCCTCCAGCTGCCTGGCCTGTGCAGAGATGTTCAGGTCCAGTGGTCTTTTGTTGACATGGGTAAATACTTCATCATACTTACAGCTTGTCTTTTGGAGTGGGTGAAGCTGGGCTTGCATGTTGAGAGCTGTAAGCACTTGGCAGGGACATCTAGTTCTTAGACTTAGGAGTTTTGAGGGTAAGAACTAAAGACACTGGGACTGGGATCTGCCCAGCTTTGGGACTGAGACCCTGGGTGAGACCACTGAAGGGGACAGAGCCAAAGTCAGCTCTGAAGTTAACAGATCCTAAATGGGGAAAGTCCCAAGATCAGTGGGGTTGTCATTGTTAAGTGCCGTCAAGTTGTTTCCAACTTGTAGTGACCCAGTATAGAGTTTCTGAGGAGTGGCTAGTGGGTTTGAACAGCCAGCCTTGCAGTCCAATGCTCATCCTATAGCACCACACCAGGACTCCAAGATCAGTGATAGGAGAAGCAAAATGAATAGGGCTCCCTGTGTGGCTGCTGGGAGCCTGGGGACTTTCAAGCTGAAAAAAGCAATCTTGAGTTCTGGAACGTTCAGTCCCACCTGGTTCTTCTTGTTTGACTGGCCTACCCCTCTTTCCTGAAAGTAGCTATCCTACTTTTCCTTTCTCTGAAAGCTGTTGAAACCTCACTAACCCTTGGGGCATGGACCCCAGAATGCCATCTTACCAGAATCCCTTCCTCACCATTCCCAGGGCCGGTACACAAGCCCTTGCCATGCCCTGTTTTCCTTGGGGAGTGTCAGAAACAAGAGAGAGGGCTAGAGAGTCCCAAGCAGCCTGGTGACCACAGTATGATTCCTGGCGCCCTCTCAGAAATGCTTCCAGAAGCTCAGTGGTCTTCTTTCTCAACACAAGCATAGTCTTGACAGAGGACATGGGGTTAAAGGCCAAAGGGACATGGCAGAGAGCTGGTGAACACCTCTCCACAGAGGCCTCTGTCTTCTCCTCAGCCTTAGCTGCCGCCGCTGCATCATCGTAGGCAACGGAGGTGTCCTTGCCAACAAATCTCTGGGATCACGGATCGATGACTATGACATTGTGGTCAGGTAAGCTCCCCAAAGCAGTACCTTGGGCACCTGAGTGTCCTGGCCCAAACCCTGAGCTCACTGAGAATTGTCCATCTGACCAGTTGGACTGGGGATCAGCAGAAGCCTTTGAGAAAAATCCTGGATGGCAGGGCTCTGGAATGGAGGACTACATGCTGTCATGTACCCTGAGCTCTTCATTCTCTGCACCTGGAGCACCTGGGTGCGTTTTGGGATCATGAAGCCTCCTCAGACACCAAAACAAAAGTCCAGACCCAGTGCCATGCAGTCAGTTCGGACTTGTTGCAGCCCTGTAGTGCCCCTAGAACGCAGGCCCATGTCCTGGGAAGCCTTAGAGCTCCTGGCATCCCCCTGCCACGTGCATGGAGCTCAAGGCAGGCTCTCACTCAGCCTGCTCTCTGTAGACTGAACTCAGCACCAGTGAAAGGCTTTGAGAAGGACGTGGGCAGGAAAACAACACTGCGCATCACCTACCCCGAGGGCGCCATGCAGCGGCCTGAGCAATATGAACGGGATTCTCTCTTTGTTCTCGCTGGCTTCAAGTGGCAGGACTTCAAGTGGTTGAAGTACATCGTCTACAAGGAGAGAGTGGTGAGCTCCCCATGTGCACCAGTTTCTTTCCCTTCTTGACCTGGGCCTTTCCTTCGCCTTCCCCAACTTCCAAGTCAGCCCCTTCCCCAGAGCCTAGCAAAGAACAAGTAGGAACCTTTCACAGGAAGCAATACTAACCCAAAGCTAAAGGCACTCAAATGCAATCAAGGGACAGAGGCCAAGATCACGGACACAGACTCCAGGACCCACCCCCAATCCCCAGACTCCAGGTCCTTTCTTGGCCTTCCTTCCCCTTTCCTGCCTCTCCAACAGCCTCAGAGCCTCTGTGAGGTCTTTCTGACTCTGGTCCTGGAGCGCTCACCCTCCTTCTCTGCTAGAGAAAGAAGGCCTATTTGAGCCTGGGGTCATTCTACAAAAGCAGCAGACTCCTAAGTCAGGGTGCCAACTCCCAAACTAAAGGCTTGATACTTTGACCACTGGCCTCTAGTCTGAGTCAGAATCCATCCTTCAGAGATGATCAGCTTCAGAGTTCCAGGCAAGCAGAGGGTCTAGCCCCATTTCTTTAGGGAGCTTATGTGGCAAAATAAGGCCAGACAGCTTTTTAGTAGACCACCCACCGAGTCCCCTCCTGAGGCCTCTGTTGCTCAGCTCCAGATCCATTGGGTCACCTACCCACCTCCCAGCCCCCCACCAGCTGTCAGCAGTTGCCCCCCAGGGGGAGGAGTTCAGGTAATTCATCTCCCTGTAAGGCCTCCTACCAGCGGAGAATGATGACAGATGGCCCTGCCCTCTGTAAGGAGCTAAGAGTTTTCTCTGAAGGTTTAGAGGAGAGAAGGGAGTGGGAACAGTTTATTCTACATGTGGGGGTCTCAGTGCATTTTGGTTTCACTCCACAGCCCTTTACCAAGAAAGGCCAAGTGCACACAGTATCGAGTAGGTAGCAGAAATGCAGGTATGTGGAAAAGGGAGAGTCCACCTCAAAACCAGACTGAATGAGGCAGCCAGACTCCACGGGGCCTGGTCCGCTTCCCTGAAAAGCAGAAAAGCCAGTCAGTAGGGTGATCATCTGGCTTCAGCCAGGCCCACTGCCCATGCAAAGCAGGCAGAGAAAGGGGGCTAAGGGGACACCCAGAGGTGTACCTAAAATATGGTTGCTATGGTATATGCCCTGGGTGCTACTTGAAGTGAGGGGGGCCAACACTGCGAAGTTTCCATTAACTTGGTACAGACCAACATCCTTCCTTAAGCATTGGAGACATCTAGAGGCTTGTGGGGGGCGGAGGGCCACATAAGGAGATAGACCTGCCCCTGGGTGCAAGATGATGCACGGAATGACACTCTGAGTTACCACAAGTACTAATGGCAACAGACTGGGGCTTCTGGACCAGGGGATGGGGCTGCTTTCTGTTGGCACGTCTCTGCTTTCCATGCCCATTCATCTTAAAATAGGAGGGGGGAGGGCAGTGCAGAGATTACCTCGGGTGCTCCTTAACTCCTCTGTTTCAGAACTGTAGGACCTGAGGTCCTAGCATCCTCAGAGTCCTTCTCTTTGCCTCACGGGGCAATAGAATTGGGATTGCAAGGAGGCTCCTATAGGAGAGAAATGGGGTCTGCTTTGTTGAGCTGCATAGAGCCTGGGAACCACCTGTCTGTCCACCCTCTCCTGGCTCATCCTTTCCTCTGCCCTAGATCCCCTTTATCAGAAGCCTCCCTTGTAGATAGGAGCTTCTAGATGGGAATGCCATGGTCCCATTCCCTTTCATTTAGCCCTTAGTGCCCAGTCACCATAAAGCTTTAGGAATTGTCTGGAATTGACTCAGAAGACACCAGATCATTCTTCCTGCGGGGCAGACTGACATAGAACAGACAGCCCAAGTAAGGAGACCAGGCCTCATTTTGTAAGTTAATTCTATTCAGGCTCTTATAATTCATCCAAGGGAGTAAGGAAAGAAAGAAGAGAAGAAGGAAGTAACACTGTACTCAGGCCACTCAGAAGACTGAGGAGCTCTCCGCCTGGTGTGGCCAGGGCAGCAGGTACTAGAGCAGATAGATGGAGGAGGAAGAGCGGGATGTGCTCTGGCACACACTCAACCCTTGCTGGGGTTTGTATCCTGGCCTGGCCATGCATAGGAGTCTTGGGCCGGCCTTGTGTTGGTGAGAATTCCTTCCAGGGTTGGCTGGGGATAAGTCCCGAAGGGGGAGAAGAGACAGGGAGGAGTCTTTTGAACTTCCCTGGCTCCACACTCAAAGGACCATGTGAGTCTTTAGAGTGAGCTGCCAAATGATGCCAGCAATGCCCATGACCTCCTCTCACAGCACCCAGAGTGGGTCTGCTCAGGCCCTTCCTGCTACCTCAGAGGCCTTGCCCTTAGGGCTCTTCTCTACCCAAAGGGCAGGGTTTGTGCATTCAGGAGACCTCTTCCATGCTCTGCTCCCCTTCTCTGGCCTCTGAGAGCTAGGTAAAAGCAGAGAGGTTGCCTCTCCAAGCACCCTTCCTGTCTTCTACCCTGAGACACACACACACACATTTTCCCCCTGCCTCCAATACCTGCAGTGATGGCTCTAACCATGTTACGTCTGGGCTGCTGGAGCACTCCCTGCACCTGTCTGGAACTCACCTGTAGAATTCTGGCAGGAGGCAACTCTGTATTTTGGAGCCAAGGCCTGGCTGGATAGGGCTAGACCAGGTATTAGACCTTAGTCATGGCTGCTGCTGGCTGCCAGCTGTGAACAGTCAACTCATTGCAGGTAGCCTTCTGGTACCCAGGAGTCCTACCAAGATATGGGAAGGGGGAAGATGTGGGTAAGGAAGACAGAACAAGCCAGAAAGCACCTTATACCAGGATTGGCCTTACTTTTCACCATCTGTCTAGGAGCTCTGCTCTTCACTAGTCATGGCCATTGGGCCCCTGCATCACTGAACAGTAGCTTTAAAGAAGAAAGGCCTTCCTCTCCCAGGTGAATTCCCCCTGCTCTTACAGGAGCCCTACGCAAACCAGCAAGCAGGGTTAGGGGGTTCCCAGGAGGCCCCGTGTGCTCAGTGAACTGGGTGAGTAAGGGAGTGGAGATTGGGAGAGAGTGGAACTGGAACGTGGGGTACAGCTGGGAGGAGGCATCCATCTCTCCGTGCACTCACCCATCTGGCAGACATTTATTGAGATGGCCACTAATGCTGATGCTGTGCTTGTCTTGGGACTATAAAGGCGAATTAAACACTGTTGCTGACTCAAGTCACACAAAGTCTGCCGGGAGAAACATCCTGAGACTGGAGTTGCTATGCAGTCGGGAGATAGGGTATGTGCGGGGATGTTGTGATGGGGAAACACCGTCACCCACCTCCTGCAGGAAGCCACCCCTGAGCTGGACCCTACAGGAGGATTTAGGGGTCAGAAGGGTGAAGGGTGTTGCAAGCAAAGGAAACAGCATGTGCAGAGGCCCAGAACGACTGTGAACAATGGCCCATGGGTACAACACAGCACAGTACAGGTGGTATGTCAGAAGCCTGCGAGGCTCCCAGAGGCTGGGCCCTGTACAGCCTCCTCCTGGTGATTGGTAAAGGCTGAGATGCCCTGACCACTGTCCCAAGGAAAGAGCCCTGGGGTCACTCCGTGGCTCAGGCCCTATTCCTCTTCCCTCTGCCAGCACCCCACCAGGCCCCCAGGATGTCTGGTGACTCAGGACAGCTGAAGCCCCAAGGAGTCACCTTCCCTCATCCCCACTCCTGAAGCTGGGGAGCTGACCACACTGCTAAGCAGCCTGTGATTGTGGTCACCAATTCAGTGAGACCCTGAGGCCTGGGCTCCTGTTGGTGTGGGTGTGGCCCCAGCACAGGGACAGGGAGTGGACAAGGGCTGACTATGGCCCCTGAACAATCTCAACACAGTCTTGATCTTCAGTCATAGCTCATTCCCTGGGGAGGGAGAAAGATCAGGGAGGAAGAGAGAAAGAGAGGTCTAAGTGATCAACCAGGGCCCCAAATTCATGGCACAGAGGAACTGAGTATGTGAATTTAGGAGAGACAACATGCTAAAGAAGGAAAAGCAGCTTAGGGTCAGTGTCACATGGACATGAATTTGGGCTTACTTTAGGCAAATTACCTCGTATTAGAATTAGAGGCTCAGGTTTAGTCCCCAGCCAATGCGCCTCATATATGTATAGCAGCCACCCATCTGTCACTGGAGGTTTGCATGTAGCTATGATGCTAAATAGGTTTCAGCAAAGCTTCCAGACTAAAGCAGACTAGGAAGAAAGGCCTGGTGATCTACTTCCAAAAAATCAGTCAGTGAGAGCCCATGGTCACAGTGGTCTAGTCTGCAACCAATCAGCAGTCCTTCCCTCTATGTGTGAGGTCGCCTTGAGTTGATTCCAGAGCAGCTTTCAACAAACACCCAACAGGTATCTTCCAAGTTGTTTTAGGAGGAATTGGACAGATGAAGTTCTGGATGCACCTAATTGAGTGCTGGGCACTTAGTACCTTTTTTTCTAGTACTGTTTTTAATTTTATTTGTGATTGCATCGTTGATGGTGGTGTTGCTACTAGAAAAGCCTAGTTGCACTGGGCAGTGAAGCATTTTTCTATCCCCTGGGGAACCACTGGCCTACAAGGATAAAATGCAAACCCCCATGCTCTGGCCTTCCCAAGATCCTCCCCATTCCTTGCCACTTTGCCTCGCCCCCACCCCCACCCCAACATGTGCTCTTCACTCTGCCTGCTCCCACAGAGATTTACAGCCTCGGAAACCCGACATAGAGTCAGAACCAACTCCAGGGCACTTAACGACAACAACATTTCCAGACCTCCCTGACTTCCATGCCCAAGACTGTGTGAAGTGCTCTTCCTCTGAGTCCTCCTTCGTAACACTCACCATTCTCTACTGTCCTGAGGGTTTGCGGTCTGTCAGCTGTTAGAAGCTCCTGAAGGGCAGGCACTTGTTTCTCTCTCTGAGTCCATCGCCTCCAGCAGTGTGTAAAACATAGCTGGTGTAGATTACCAAAACCAAACCCACACCCACTGCCATCTGTGGAGTCCATAGTGACAT